AAAACCGCTTCCCAAACGCCACCAACCCCGAACACGACCCCTTCGCAATCGCCCACACCGCCTCGTAGAACGGCAGATTCGACGACCGCAACGCATGCGTCAACCGCGCCCGCACCTCGTCGTCGCCGTCGCCGTCGCCATGCTTTCCGCCTGCATCATCCTGTTCCGGCGCTGCAACGGCGGCAGCAGCAGCAGCAGCTGTAGCTTCCTGCACCTGCGCATCGAGCTTCTCCAGCATGCGCAGCTCGGAGAGCACGCTCGAGCGCAGCGACCGCACTTCCACGATCTGCGGGTTGCGTTGCGTCTGCGCGAGGAGCGACTGCAGCGCGGTGAGTTCGGCGAGGAGGGTGCGGCATCGGGTGACGAGGGTCGTGGAGATGGTGAGGGTGCTGCTGCTGCTGCTGCTGTTGGTGCTGGTGGTGCTGCATTGATAGGAGGGGTCGGAGGGGTTGGGTTCTCCCATTTTGTTGGGCTGGGGCTCGGGTTCTCTGGTCGGTTTGGGGGTTTGAGGTTTGGGGGTTTGGCGTGGTAGGTGGTTTTCCCGGGTGTTGGAGGTGAGTTTATTGGGTTTGGTGGGGGGGGGTTGTTTGGGTTGGGTCTGATTAAGGTCCGCGGCGGCGGCGGCGGGGTGGAGGGGTTCAGGTCTGCGGTGGAATGTATACTCAGGATTTTATCGGCAAGAGAAGATTTGGGGACTCGGTGAGGGCGTCGAGGGAAGGAGGTAGAAGGTTAGCGAAATCTATGTCTGAGTCATGGCTGGATATGTGAGGTTGTTGGCAGAAGTCAGACAATACTCGCGAGCTGCTCGGGGCTTGGCCATTGCAGATGACGGCTGTTTGGCTCTTTCCAAGCTAAAAACTAACATACCGCGAGCCGCGGTGCGTGTCGATGGGGAATGCCTAGTATTCCAATCATTGCGCCCAATTCAGGCTTATCCAGACTGTCGCTGGAGCTGGTTTATACTACTACTGAGTAAGGCTTCCATTCCTATCAAGCTTCTCCAACATAGACCACATCCTAAAGCACAAGTCTTCATTTTGAACTAGAATCAAACACACTTTATACACTATGTAACAGCAAAGTACTTCATCCCTCATCAATGAAAAAAGAAATTAAAAAGGCTAATAACGAAACTCACTGGGAATTCACCTTAGCCAAACGCCATGATATGCCTTCAAGCAAATTAAAGCGAAATTGAGCCTCCAATCCTACACGGCAACGGTTCTCGGGATGCAGGGAACTCTCCTCCGGCCACACACATAACGCCTTCCTACTGCGGCCACGAGCTACCCTGCAACCCTGGCATGACCACTCAGTGTTTGCCGGTAAGACGCTGTCTTTCACTGGAGTTGCGCGGTGACTCGTCCTCATCATCCGACCATCTGTCGCCGTCTTCGCCAACTGCGAAGATGGTCTCTCCGTCCAGAGATTCCCGGGGGCGTGATGCCGAGGGAACAGGCTTCGGCGGGATAGGCGACAGGTCACCACGCTGTTCAAGGCCGATGTGTTCTTCAAGGCCACCGAGAGCGTCTTCCTCATCTAATGCACTGCCGAACGAACGAATCTCGAAACCATCGTCATCTTGGGCAATCTGCAGATTCGGTCAGCGACAATCCTTGACACTCCGCACACAGGAGACTTACCTCATCACTCATCGCGAAGCGGCGGTTGTTCGCAGTGGGTCGCCACAAGTAGGCGACGAACGCAATGTCAAAGAGATAGACAATGTTGAGCCAGCCATCCAAGACGAACCATCTAGTCTTCCAGTGCTCAGGTACAAAGCTGGCTTCACTGTGTCCCGCAAAGTTGATCGAGTTGAGGAAGAAGAAGCCGAAAATCACGATGATGCTACCAAGGATGCACCACCACAGTTTCTTGTACATCATGGCCTTCACTTTCTGCTTGCGGTCGATCAAATCCTTCATGGTGGCGTTCAGTGAGTTCAATGTCCAGACGTAGAAAGCAGTCAATGTCCCCGCAAGTGGCAGGACAATGAGCAAAACTAGTGGACCGGCGCTGTCGGGAGTGATAGATAAACTTGCAACAGCATAGATCACAGCGAAGACGAAATGGGTGATGGCGAGAACGCGGACATAGATCATAGTTCGTCCGAGCGAAGGTTTGACAACGCCGTATCCCATGCACACGATGAGAAGGAGGAAGAATGAAAAGGAGTTGCGGCCTGCATTTAGAACGGCTACTATGACCATCAACGCTTTCGCGCCGGCATTCAAGCCGTGCACATTTTGATATTCTATTCAAGATTAGAGAAGCATCGCAATATATGGGATTTGATCCGGCATACCATAGAATCCCCAGGTCATCGCCTGCTCGACGATCAAGAAGACCAAGATCGCAGTGATGTAATTTTGCACGGGCACTATCCTATGTCAGTCAAGTTCGACTTCCTGGCAGATGTTGACTTACGGATATCGTGACGATTCTGCACATAGAGAAAAGCCCAGAACCTATTGTCATCAGCTGAATGCCTCAATAACGATATAGTCTCGATGAACATACGCTCCGACCACAGCATAGACAATGGTTAGGCCACCATAGAACGGCAGCTTTGCAATTTGTGCCGCTGGGAGCTCTCCATACGAATTCCTGAATTCCACAACGGCCTTGTAGTCGGTTCCGGAGTATCCGTATGTGCTCACACAATAGAAGCCGGTCTTTTTGATCGGATAATTGATGGCGGTCGGATTGTTGAGATGCACGGCTTGAGTGATGATGGGGAACTTGGCGGCTTCGGTAGCGTTCGCAGCGAGGATAAACGAGCCAATCTGATCTTCCTTGCACAGATCTGCTTGAACACTGGCTTCGTCGCAGATAGTTTCGATCACCTAGAAAGCATTGGTTGATCAGAGGATATTCACTCGAAAGCCACTCCTCGAGACATACATCGGAGTCGCCGGGTACAGGCCGCCCGATGAGGTTCTCATCAGTCCATTCGAAAATCACCAGGCTGACAATGGGATCACTGTCGCCCGCACTCGAGTCTTGGACAAATTTCGTCAGGATAAAGGGGTCTACGCTTCCACCCCATGCTTTGCGGCTGTACATTCCCGAGCATCGCTGCCGACTGGCTTCATCTTGTGTCTAGAAAGCACCCAATGTCAAAGGTGAGCGATGGAGACTGTGTAGGACGAGGACAAACGCACCAATGCAACTTCATTGGCAAGAACATGTCCCGCAAATAAGGCTGTCAAGCCGAGAGTCTGAAGCCACCCTCTCATTCTGACCATAAATAGGAGCTAACCGGTGGGTTACTGCCAATACACAGAGCTCCGGATTCGCCGAGCGCAGAAGATGGGGTACGGGTTTAAAGCATATGAAGGTACAAGGGTGTGTGAAGAAAGCAGACTGTCAGAAATCAAGAGAGAGGGAGAAAGAAAGACTCCCAAGGACAACCGACAGTTGGTTGCGTATAGCTTTCGGAGAGAATGTGTACTGTCCAGCGATCGCACGAATTCGTGGCTACAACCTGAAACCGGGGAAGCCGCGCGTGTTGACGGTCCCGCCGATTGAGGATTATCTAAGCCCGTGCTGCCACTGAAGAATTTCTGCCTAGGTTTTCCCAATCGGCTTCCCGCTGCCCTGCTTTGCTTGCTTGCTTGTCAATCAATCGCCGCATTTGAACCCGATCGTCTCACTCACTCACTAGGCTAATCGATTTTACAACATGCCAGGCAAGGAGATTCCAGATCGCTGCATGAACTGCCGCGATGCGCAACCTGCCTTCCTTCTGCGCAGCCGTCATGTCTGCCAGTAAGTCTTCTGGATCGCATCTGGTTTGGGAGTGGCGCCGCCCGCAGTGACTGACAGAAAGTGCCCCTCTTCTAGGGACTGCTATATACGCTTTGTCAAGTACAAGCCCTTCAAACGCACGGAGAACTATCGTCTTAGGAGGAATATGCCCCAAGATGGGCCCTGCAAACTCTTACTTCCTCTCTCCTACGGCCTGTCATCTACAGTCATGCTGCACATGTTGCATGAACAAGTCGAAACCATGCGACTCAAGCCGCATGGCCCCAAAGGCTATGAGCTTCTCGTCCTAACCATCGATCCGTCAACCATAAACCCTTCGATTCCTCCGCACGATGAAGCCTTCAGTCTGGCCAAGAAGCGATTCCCTCACTGCTCCTTCACAACCGTTCCTTTCCACAGCATTTTTGATTACGACCCCAGCATTAGCGAAGTCATGTCACTGTATGCGCACGCGAATTTCGAGGATCAAACTTCATTGTCGAATCAGGCGCGCCTTGGAGCTTTTCGCTCCTCGATCACAAGCGCAACCTCCAAAGCGGACGTCGACAACATCCTTATCAATCGACTTATCGTCGCATTCGCAAAGAAAATGGAGTGCCGAGGCATAGTATGGGGAGATTCGGACAGCAAGTTGGCTGCCAAGACTCTTGCGAATGTTGCAAAGGGCCGCGGCTCCGCGGTGACCTGGCAGGTCTGCGATGGGATATCTCCATTCGGACTCGAGTACAACTTTCCTCTCCGGGACCTGTTCACTGTTGAATTGCGCAACTATGCTAGCTTCATCCCAGAACTTTCTGGCCTCATTATTCCCCATCAAGCGGTTTCGGAGAACACGCTCACGAAGAACCTGTCAATCGACGAGCTGATGGTTCGTTACGTGCTCACGCAGGGTGAGAAGTACCCTGGTGTGATGTTGAATGTGACCAGAACAGCAAGCAAACTACAGTCTCCCAGCGCTTCCCCGGCCGAACAGCAATGCAGCCTTTGCGGAGCTCTCATGTTCAAGACGAATGCGACATCACCACAGGCCACAGGCCAGCACTCGGACAGCTTATCTTCCCAGATATGCTATGCATGTGCTCGATCTCGACCTGATCTAAGCTGCTAAGAGTTGGCAGTGCAGACATTAAATATGATTGTGCGCGATATCTAACATTATACTAATCTTGCGAATATGGGATTTCAGTCTCTCTCTGCATCCTTCATGCGGGCTAGCACGCGGCTCATTCTCAGCGCCTAGCGGATCGCGTGTTGTCGACGACGCCTCTTTCGAGATCGTCATCGCCGGGGGCTGCGCCGCCAAACCATCTTCTCTGCGACCGATTCCTTTGTGGATGTCTTGCTGGTTCGGGCATCGCGGGACCGTCAGTCCTAGAGTGCTTCCTGCTCCGATGTCTCCTCGGTTCCTCTATGGCGCCCTTGTCGTGTCGGTCGAATTCTTCGGGGAGACTGGCGTCTTCGGGTGCATCGTGTCTTCCGCCATGCTTTGAGAGCGCCTTGGCCCCTTTCTCTCGCAGATGCTTCTCTAGGAGCACAGCATTCCTTGTGTTGCACTTGTAGACGGCATCTGCGATGTCACCCACGAACGGCACAAGTCCTATGAAGAAATCGATCACCACATTGATCATCATCATCATGCGCAGGCTTGCCGGAAGACCTCCATCGATGCCCTCGCAGGTCCGAACGACCATCAAGGCGAGTGCTGCATCGGCAGCATCTCCGGCACTAGTGTACTCGGCGCGTTAGTTTCTGCCTGTCAGCTTCGGTGTCATCACCGAAAGGACTTACAAAGGAATTAGCCCAATCACACTTCCCCATCCAAACCTTATCCCGCACAAATTGAAAAGACTGTAGTCTAGTCGATATGCTCTTCTCTTGACTTGCGTCAGGACTTTCTGGTCGTGGTCTGATAATCCCGGCGGTATCGCTTTCCGCCTCTTCTGTGTCTTTTTGCCGAAGGCTCGTCCTAGGCGAGAGGCGGGGACTTCTTCGAAGTATGGATCCTGCCAAACCGCAAGCTTGTTAGCTCATGGGCTGTGATAGAGTTTTTGGTGCAAGTAGAGAAGGATATTTACCTCCTGGCCAAAGTGGTTTCTGGCCGTTTCGCCTAAGATCCTTTTGCCAACAAGCGATGCAATCTTAGTCGTCATAGCTCGTGGTTGTTTCTTTTAATTTCCCAGAAAAGTCTGTGTAGGAGAGTCTTGGTTGCAAAACCTAGAAGGTCTGCCAGCAGAGGGTGTCTCGGGTTATTTGTGAATAGTCTTTCATACAATGACCCGCACAGACACAGTTTCGCTCTTGTGAAATTTTCCTCGGCGTGCTATCATGCTCAGCTGAAGAAGGAGGTCAGCAGGTTTAAAAAGCTTGTTGTAACCAGTCATTGACTTCAACGTCGATCGACGCGAGGCACGAGCAACCTCCGACGTCATCGGCTGTCCTTCGACCCTGTTACGTAATCCCTTTGAATTGCACAGCACGGCACTTGTCACCAGCCACACCACCACATGTCATACTGTGGTGCTACTGGGTAGCTGCGCCACAATATGTGGCGTGTGAACGAATGGCCCCCTCTCCCGTCCGGGCATTATTGATCCCGTCTCGGACTTGTTGGTGCTTACCGAGCTCTCTTCCAACCTGATCAGGCCGTCGTCGGGTGTCGAGCTGAGAAGAGTCACCTTCCCTCTAGTCTATCCTTTATCATTTGCTTCCCTATTAGCTTCATTCCTGGGGATCAAGCCATTGATTCGCCTCTATTCCTGTTTCACTCACTCTCACCAAAGTACGCTTCAGGGGTGGCGCTCTGCCAAGGCACCCTTCCTTGAAGCTGCAGCCGCGCTGTGCTGTCCCCTCCACCTCTCTGTCTAGCGCTCTCTCCGATTCATCTGGAGAGCCATCTATCTATACTTACCTCTGCTGAGATGCTAAATCACGTTTTTCAGTATGACAGAAACAAAAATGCAGTTGGAAGACTGTGAGTTCGGCTGTGACGCGCGGTCTTCTGCGCCGCCTCTGACATGAGTGATGCTGACACGGTGGTTCCCCCCAGGGCTGGATGATTTATGTGTCCGCTTCATCATCAACCTACCACGTGAGGAACTTGAATCCGTTGAACGTATCTGTTTCCAAGTCGAAGAGGCACAATGGTTCTACGAGGACTTCATCCGGCCGCTCGATCCGGCTCTTCCGTCGCTATCCTTGAAAGCATTCGCCTTGCGCATCTTTCAGCACTGTCCTTTGATGTCGCAATGGTCGCACTATCACCACATCACCGCCTTCTCCGAGTTCTTGGCTTATAAAACCCGTGTACCCGTTCGCGGAGCCATCATGCTGAACCAGGACATGGACGAGGTGGTCCTAGTCAAAGGCTGGAAGAAAGGTGCTAACTGGAGTTTCCCGAGAGGCAAAATCAACAAGGGTGAGAAAGACATCGATTGTGCAATCCGTGAAGTCTACGAGGAGACAGGCTATGATATACGCGAGGCGGGGCTCGTTCCGGAAGAGAAGGACGCCAAATACATCGAGATCACCATGAGAGAACAGCACATGAGGCTGTACGTCTTCCGCGGAGTGCCACAGGACGCCCATTTCGAGCCTCGTACTCGGAAAGAGATCAGCAAGATCGAGTGGTACAAGCTATCGGAGTTGCCGACACTCAAAAAGAGCAAACAGCAGGAGCAAGGGCTGGTTGTGGCTAATGCAAACAAGTTCTACATGGTCGCCCCTTTCATGCACCCGCTGAAGAAATGGATTGCTCAGCAGAAGAAAGCTGAGATCAAGTCGCACCCCGGAGCCAGGCACCTTGTGCAGACTGAGGGAGAGCTGTCGATGGATGAGGCACCCCAGGCTGTCAATGGCTTCACGCCTAGCCAGCTTCCTGCCCAGCTGGCCACCCCGAGCGATTTGCCGGAACTCGCATCATCTCACGATGCTTCGTCTAATCTCAAGCGCCTTCTGAACATCAACGGCCTTGCTCCTGTCCAGGATAATCCTGCGAATGTAGCCACCCCTGCGGATAACAGGACTATCACTTCGAAGTCCAATGCCTTGTTAGAACTCCTCAGGAGTGGCTCGTCGCAAGATACTCTTCCGCATGCCCCTGGACCCGACAAGGCATTGCCGCCACTCGCTATTCCAGATGGTCTGCCACCAATGGGACCCCCTTACCCTGACACGGCCTCTTTCCCTGGATTCCCTCAGCAAGCTCAACATTTGCGAGGCCCTGTGCCCATGAATCCTGTGCAATTCCCGCAGACTCCAGTATCTCGTGCACCGGTCTCGAACATTGGTGTACCACCGCTTGCTCGACCAGCTCATGTGGGTCATGCAGGTGCACCACCTGGTCATCACGGAATGCCGCCGTTATTTGAGCAGATGCTCTCGAATCCTCCAAGGTACGATCCTGTGCAAGCAAGCTTGCCCACGGCGACGCAACCTGGCCCGGCTCCATACCAACGAACGGGAGATCCCCAATTTTCTCATTCAGCCCAGGCGCCAAATATCCAGGGAGCGACTGTGCCCCCTGCAAGCAAGCTTCCACCGCCAAAGCTTACGACCCACTCTCTTGCCTTGTTGAACGTGTTCAAAGACGACTCTCGCAGGACGCCCAAAACAGCTAATGCGAGCCTAGTCCCACCAGCGGAGAAGGTTGCGCATCATGACAGGCGGCCCTCGCAACACCAGGATCAACTCCTAGGTTTGCTGAGAGGGTCTTCTGTTCCTCCAACCCCGGGGCCAGCTGAATTGCCAGCCCAATCTGTCTCTCCGCCCAGGAAACAGATTCTGCAACGACCACGTGGGGAGCACAGCCCCGCTCGGCATCCGGCAGCTCATCGGAGAGTCCCATCGGCCACGAAAGACCTGCGGGAGTCTTCCGCAGTGCCCAGTCCTTTGTCAGGTATGCCTCAGTCTATGGCATCTTCCAAGCCCTCCCCTAAACGAGGAGTCAATGGATCGAATCGCCGAAACAAGAAACTCGAGCAGGCGCAAATGCTCGCGTCGCCTGTTACGATATTGCCCAGGCCACAATCTGCAAAGAAGGAACCGGGCTCGCTGCCGGCATCCTCACAGTCATCCCGGGCTCCTTCGCGCAACCGTGCGGCAAAGTTAGGCACTCCGGAGCCGGCGAAACCATTCCAGCCTCAGATTCTCCGCCGCTCCGATAACCCGAACATTGTGGATCTGTTGCCCTTGAAAGCTCAGGTGAACGAGCAAGACCAGCAGCAAGCCGGCACTCAGCCTGCCATTCCCAGGCGGGAGTCGCAGCCTCAAGTGAACTTTGACCGCCGTCCAAGTCAGACGCCTGCCCAACGAGAAGCCTTGCTGTCCCTCTTCGGGAAAGCACCTGCGTCACCAGGAGTTTCACCTGCCGAGCTTAGCACATCAGCACCCAAGACCGCGGGTGCCTCTGGTGTCGTTAGCCCACTCACGCCATTGAATATTACTGCCGCGTCCCCGTTTGGAAGTGGAGCGGACGATGGCCAGTTCTCTCTTTCGAGCCGGGTCGCTTCGCCTGATAACAAGGCATTCTTACTTGGTTTTCTTGAAGGTGTTGCCAAGGGCAAAAAATAACCTCACTCAGCTCACTGAACCCCGATGAGGGTCAGGATCGATTAGATAGTTTTAGGACTCAATTTAGCGACTGCCAACGTCAAGATTTTGAGTTATTTTCCTGCTTAATAAGAAATGTGTTTATTCTCTGATTGTAATCGACCACTGTCTACAGTGTTGATCATGTATGATTCCCAATCAGTGATGATAACTGGCATGCGGGCCGTTCAGCTGCGTGATACCGCGGAATTATGTCATGGCTGTTGATTGTTTTGCCTCCCCATACCGCCTAATCCGCGGATATCAGCAGCCTACCGTATCTACACATTTCTAAGCCGAGCAAGGACCCCAAGTCACCGTCACCTCGCAAAGAGAAGAATGATGCTGTCCAGTCCCTCACGCACCGTGTGCGCGCGCTGCATCAGCCGCGGTCGACACTTCTCCACGACCGTTCATCAAAATGCTCAACCGCGCCGCGACCATGGGACTCCCGCTCCCCCGCCGGAAGCCGGCTATACTCGACTCACGAACAGAGGCCTCATCTCCGTGACGGGGCCCGACAGCACCTCATACCTCCAGGGCCTGGTCACCCAGAACATGGTCAAACAGAGCGCCGAGGGCAAAGGCTCGTACGTCGCATTCCTCAACTCGCAAGGCCGCATCCTGAACGACGCCTTCATCTACCCGGCCCCCGAGACCAACGGCTCCTCCTCCGCCGACCCGGGCTGGCTCATCGAAGCGGACGCCGCCGAGCTCCCCGCGCTCCTGAAGCACCTCAAACGCCACAAACTCCGCGCCAAGCTGCAGCTGCGCGCGCTCGACCCCACCGAACGCACCGTCTGGGCCTCGTGGAAGAACCACAACCCCCAGCACGGCGACGGCCGCTGGGCCGCACACAGCATGGGCGACTCGGCCTCCGAGCAGGAAGGAGCAGGATGGGGCGCCGTGGGCGCCAACATCACAGGCTGCGTGGACACCCGAGCCCCGGGGTTGGGGCTGCGACTCGTCACGCCGGGCGACGCGGACCTGCGCACGCATCTCGCGCGCCAGCTCGAGGAGGCGGGCGCCCAAGAGGCCAGCCTGGGGTCCTACACGGTGCGGCGCATGCTGCGCGGCGTCGCCGAGGGCCAGACGGAGATCCTGCGGGCCGCCTCGCTGCCCCTCGAATGCAACATGGATCTGGCCCAGGCCATCGATTTCCGGAAGGGCTGCTACGTCGGCCAGGAGCTGACCATCCGCACCCGCCACACCGGGGTCGTGCGCAAGCGTATCCTGCCGGTGCAGTTGTATGCCGATAGTTTACCGGAAGGAGTCCGGGGGGGCCCGGTTTATGATCCCTCGGTGGACGCGGGGCTGCTGGCGCCCCCCGCCGGCGTGCAGGGTTTGGATATCTCCAGGGTCGGGCCGGTGAAGGGCCGCAGCGCTGGGAAGTTCCTGGCTGGCGTCGGGAATGTCGGGCTGGCGCTGTGTCGGTTGGAGATGATGACGGATGTTGCTCTCTCGGCGGACGGGGCCACGCAGTTTACCCCGGATCGGGAGTTCAAAATTAGCTGGGATGCGGCGGCGGTGGAGGGGGGTGGGTCGGAGGGGGCGGAGGGGGAGAGGATTCGGACTGTCAAGGTTAAGGCGTTCGTGCCGCCGTGGACGAGGGAGTATATCGCTTCCGGCACGCAGCAGGCTCGTGCTCGGGATCCGATTCGCGAGGGCCAGAGGGCGAGGGAGCTTGCTGAGCGGTTGGCGGCGGAGGAGGAGGAGGAAGAGGACGCTCGACTGCATGAGTAGTTCCACTTGTCTGTGGGTTTTAGATGTACAGTAAGTGTATGTATGATAAAATGATCATGTGTAATTTAGATAGAAGGCTAGTTCAAGCGGATCAACTTCTTTGTATGGGTGTCGTAATTCTTTAGTATGGGTATCTCTATGCTACAGCAGGAAAACTTTCTATATACAACAAGACTAGGCGATTGCAGGGGTCCACCGACAGCGGCCGAGATGCGACCAACCTTAGGAGGCTTGGGCGGCTGCAGCCTCTGCAGCATCTGCGGCTTCGTCTTCCTTTCGCAGTTGCTCTTCCAGAGCCTTGCGTTCTTTCTCCCGCTGGGCGTTCCGCAATCGCATCAAGGTCAACTCTTCCAGACTCGGGGCACTCGATCCGTTGGGAGCGCCAGCGGTAGGGGCAGGTTTCGGGGAGCTGGCGGCCGCGGAGGCAAAGGAACCGAAGGAGGGCGCCTTTGCGGGACCTTTGGCAGCACTGGCAGTGCCTGCCGCTTTCAATCCGGCGAAGTTGAACGACGGTTTGGGGGCTGCTGCTGGTGTAGGAGCGCTGTCTGCTGCTGAGCCGGGAGCGGACGATGAGGTGCCGTTCGAAGCCTCCGCGCCGAGCTCAGGTTGAGCGCCCGATGCCCAGAAGACCGACTCAACGACCGACCAGTCACTGCCGGCATCGTTGCTTGCTTTCTTCTTCTCACCATCCAGAACAGCAGCGTGAGCGCTGACAATGGAGGCGAAGATGACCACCCCGGTCGCGACGGTCTTCTTCTCGCGCTTGTCACCCAGCCGCTGCCTCTTGTCCTTGAGAAGCAGCACATTCTCGACCTTGCCAAACGGCGCAAAGAGCGCCCTCAAGCGCTCCGCATCCAGATCGAACCCGCGGCCCTCACGCACCCAACGCACCTTCACCCCGCGCTCCAGCTCGGGGACATTCGTGCCCCCGCCTTCCCGCGACCGGTCGACCTTCTGCGAGCTCCGATCGGCCGCCTTCCTAGCTTCCTCCTCCTCCAGCCGCATCAGCCTCTCCTCCTCCTCCATCTCCAGCTTGATCTTCTCCTCCGCCTCGCGTCGCCTGCGCCGCCCATCCTCCGCAATCCGATCAATCTCCCTCTGCAATTTTGCTTCTGCATCATCATCCCCATCCGCCGTCGTCCCCATCCACGACCTCTTCACCCCCCGCTGCTGCTGCTGCTGCTGCCCTGCGGCGCCCGCGCGCTCCCTCGCCTCCAGATCCTCGCGCATCTTCCGCTTGGCCGAATCCATCATCTCGCGCTCGCGCTGCTTGCGCTGGCGCGCCTCGCGCGCGTTGTCGTAGAGCTGCCGCACGGCCGGGTCGGAGAGGACATCGTAGGCGATCTGCAGGAGGTGGAACTTGTCGATGTCGGCCGGCGTCGGGTTGGCGATCTTGTCCGGGTGGTACTTCAGGGCGGTGCGGCGGTAGGCGCGTCGGATCTCGGTCTCGGCTGCCGCCGGGGAGATGTCCAGGAGCGCGTAGAAGTCCTCGGTTGAGGCCGCGTGGGCTTTGAGGTCGTCCTTGGAGGAGGACATTGTGGTGGTTTGGTTTTTTGGCGGGGAAAGTGAGAGGTTGTGAGGTTTGGAAAGGGTGTAAATGTAGAAGATCAAAGTTGAGTGAAAGGGTAGGTAGGGTGCGACGGATTGTTGCGCGTCGTTGGGCGTGAGGAGCCTCTAGTTGGAGGTGGTTGAAGGTTGGAGAGGGAAAGATGATGGGATGGCCCGGGTCGGTTGTTTGGCGGAGCGGAAGTCGTTGGCGGTGGCGGAAAGTCAAGCAGCTGTTTACTTACTGCTACTAAGTTAACTTCTCCGTGATACATACATGTATTTTAGGCATCACATGGTCTTGGTAAACAGCCTTCTCAGTCAACTCTTGTCGCCCGTTGGTTGTCATAATCGCTCCACTGACTGATTGTACTTGCGTCCCATCCACTCGAGTTGTTACAAGGTTGTGTCGTCTTTAGTATGTTCTGTTTGTCACGATTGCACGGTATATATTGTGGGGTGTGCTACCGGAAGCCCGCGATGCGGAGGACTCGTTCAGTGCCTCCAAATTACTCGTGGTGATAAGGAGAGTTTAATGAGCTTGCATTACATACTTGAAGCTAGAGGAGGGCTTGCTTCTCAATCCTTCACTGCTAAGGTACCACCTTCTCGTGATTACCTCTTTGGGTAAAATGCTGCATGCCCGGCTCCTTACCGTTCCAGATGCTCTGCTCGACCGGCGCGATGCTTCAGACTACAAGCCTTCGACATGATTGTTTTCTACCATATAAAATGCCGTCAATCTATACATTCAATCTATACAGGAGCGCGCATATGTTCTCTCATCTGCTCTGAGATACTCGCCGTTCAGCAGCTCTAGTTTGGCTCTCCAGAATGGCCGACAGCACTATACCATCACCTTCGCAGTTGGCGCTCGCGCTGGCCCTCGTCAAACATAAGCCAGTCGGAACCACCATGAAAGGTAGCCATAGACGTTCCCGAGTTGAGTCAGTCAATTGAGGATGTACTAAACAGCAATCAGATTACTTTACGCGCATTCGACAATTCATCAAAGCAGCCACGCCGACAGACCGATCCACAAGCCGAGATCAGTTCTTCGACAGTGTCGCATTCTGGCAAAAGGCGTACGAAAAGTCCGAGGCCGAACAGAGCAAACTCCTTGACCGGATATACGAGCTGGAACAACGCAACGAAGTGCTTACCGCCAAATTGCATGGCTCGAATGCTGTCCCCAAAGACTTGGTACAAGGATCCACGAAGCGGAAGGCAACCTTAGATGCTAGTATGGCTGGCACTACTACTTCGAGGAAAAAGTCCAAACAACAGACACAGACACAGAGCAGAGCTTGCATGCTTACTGAGAATATCTCCAATGGGCTGGACGGTCAGCTACCTGAATATCTTGAAGAGCGTAAGCCTACTCCTGTCATACCGTTGAGAAAAGAGTCCGGAAGCTGAGAAAGATTCGTGCAGCTACAGCATCATTTATGAGGAGGTTCTATGCTCTGCAGAAGATGTTGCAGCGAAGTCCCAATACTCCAGCCATTGCGCTTGCTACAGGTGAACTGTGCTCCGTCGCAGAAAACGATATACTCCGTGCAGTCCAACGGCAAGCTGGTTCCAGTTCGGAAGGGAGAGATGCGTCCGTTGTCAAGAATCCAAGTGTATCAGCGATTCTGAACAGCATACACAGCGCCCACCAGCTACTGCTTAGAGCATTGAAGAAGGTTCCTTCAAGTGAATCAGCATTGCAAGGCCGTGGCCTGATCATTTTCCACATTGTTCGATTGTCTGAGACAGTTATCAAAGCGTTGGGTATCCATTGCCGATTCAATGCTAAGCAGCAACTTTCAACTGCGGCCTCAGCGACCAAAACAAGGTCCTCTGTGAGGTCGAAAAGGTCTAAGACAGGGCATTCGAACGATAAGAACCCATCAAGCACGAACGATGATATTGCCCAGCTGATGAGTCTGCTACTTTGCAGAATGGCTCTTTCACTGGACAGAAATTGCTCAAAGACCTCAGACCTACGAAACGGTTTCAGCTACGTGTTGCTCAGTCGTGTTGGCGAGTTACTTTGTTTGTTTGTCTTCAGAGACCTCCATCTACGATCCGATCTGGAAGGGGACCCTACTAATCTGTCACTCCCACATGGCCTGAAGGATGCGCAGCTTGACGAGGAATCCGTCCTAGCTGCTGAGATAGAGGCCAAACATCTCATACCACCCCTTGAAAGATTGCTTACCGTACTGAACTCACCGTTGTTGCCTGAGGATACCAACTGTGCGGTAGGAATCAAAGGAAGACTGCAAAGCACTCTTCTGCAGGCGGTATTTGGTCAAGACTCAAGATTCGGCGAAGCTTTGCGCCCTCTCCGCCACGACGATACTTTGACCATCTCCCTCAACACGACGCCTATCCCTGAGCAATCTGTATCGGAATGGTTTGTTCAAGAAACTTGGAGACTTCTCGGTTGGGACTTGGTGGCAGGTTCATCATTGGGTGGATAATGTCCCTGGTGTGGACTATAGGACTCACCCCTGCTGTCAGGTACCCAGGGTAACATACAGCTACTATATCTTACGCAATATAGCTTGTGGCACATATAGACACCGGCTAAAGACGCACGTATACATAGTCAGATTATTTGAGATTTTCCAGGCAAAAGAGAACCCCATTTGATTGCTGCAGAGATGTCTGAAACTCATTTTAACTTCAGAATGCGAGCCGCGTTCTCTCCCAAGACCCCTGCAACGGTCTCACCCTCCCCTTCGAAGGCAGCATGGATAGCCTTATAGTTTGTGGTTACGCTTGGCCATTCCTCGTCATCCTTGCCAAGCGGGGGAAAGAACGGATGATCGGTTCCTGTTCAAAGTCAGCATTGTTGAGTGACCAGCGAAGTTTTCAGAATCCATACCGAACAGTAGACGATCCGCACCACCAGCGGCAGTTACCGCGGCTTTCAAGCCAGCAGTACCGTAGACCACCGCATCCAGATAAATGTTGGTATTGAGAACATCCCAGACACTTCTTTGCGGACCGGGCACATCGCCTCCATTCGCCACGAACTTGCGCTCATGCAGGATGCAGCTCTCGATGCGCCCGGCAAGGAAGGGCAGCGTGCCGCCGGAGTGCGCCAACAGGATATTTAGCCCGGGGAACCGATCGAAAACCCCGGCTAGAAACATCCGCGTCACGGCGATGGTCGTCTCCAGCGGGAACCCCAGGGCGAGGGGTAGGACATGGCCGTAGCGGTTGATCGCCTCGGGGCCGCCGAAGGCCTCGTCGGGGAGTCCGTAGTGCGGATGCAGAAACAGGAGGGAGTCGGTCTCCTGCAACGCCTTCCACACGGGGTCGAGTCGGCTATCATCCAACCCCTTTCCCAAGCCGGTCGTGCCCATGATCACGCCCCGCAGATGGGGCAGCGTTTTCAGTCGTCGAATCTCCCGGACGACCACCTCCGCGCTCGGCGCACTGAGCGGCAGCGCCCCGAAGGCATACAGCGTCTCCTTCTCGTGCAGCGCCCGCGTGTTCTCCGGGTCCGCGGCGCGGTTCACCCCGGCGCAGGTCGCCTCCAGGTCGTCGTTGATCCGCTCCGCCCACGTCTGCGCCTCCTCGGGCGCCAGGAAATCCAGCCACGGGTTGGCCAGCGAGATCACGCTGCTGTTGATGCCGTGGCGGCGCATGAAGGCTAGCTTGACCTCGATGTCCGAGTAGGATGCGTCCACGGGTCGGCCGCGCTGGTCCAGCGGGATGGAGGCGTCGTCGTCGGAGGACAGGATGATCAGCCGCGGCGGAGCGTTGGCGGCCGCCGGGTCGTGCACGTACGGTACCGTCTTGCGAGCGCGGAGCATCTGCATGTACGCGGGTGGGTAGACGTGCGTGTGGATGTCGACGATGAGAGGCGCCATGTTTACGTTTGTGTGAAGGCTGGTCGAGCTGGGGGTTGAGTTGGATGGAGTTAGTAGTGGTTGGTTAGAGGGGGAGATTGGAAGTAATGGCTGGCAATGGGGGGTGGAATGGAGGGGTAGAGGGTGCAAAAGTGAGGGGAAAGACGCACGCACATGGCTAAGTTGATACCTCAGGGCAGTTGAATACCTCATCCTGCATGAAGATGACTTATCAGATACTGCAGCCAGCAGCCAGCAGCCAGCAGCCAGCATCTAGCAATCATCGCCTTGATCTCTCCTGCAATAGTAATCTGTTCAATCTGTTCAGAGGATTGATTATCGTGTGTCTGTTCTTCAGCACGCACTTCAGATCTCAAGGACTGACTATCTATCTATCTTATCTTGGAATTAAGCACTTACTTATCTCCATATCGCCCCCCCTCCCCTTCCACTTATCTTTCCCCCGCCATTTCCACCAAGTTGTAGGGGACTGCTTGTGTACCGTGCAGTGACCCCCGATATGGTTTCCCCATGTGGTGCCATGCAGGCTCAGGCCCATTCATTCATTGTTTCTTTGCTCCTGCAGTGCTCTCCGCCCCCTCTCTTCCTTGGTTCTGCGAGCGGATAAGAACAGTAGTGATCTCACTGCTTCCCTCCGCATGACTTTCGAGTTCCCCGCCACGTCTTTTGCGATATCTACACCGATATCAAACGATCCATACTTGACTTGCCTAGAGTGTTAGCATTTATCTCTCAGCTGAAATCTCCTAGGAACTCTACGTGTGCGATCAGGATGGAAGGTAACCTGCCGCAACAGCAGTGCCACCCTGTAACCACGGCCATCGAGAAAGATGACCTTGTGATTCCAGTGAGTAGCCCCTTGCTTTCTTTCCTTGAGGATTCCTTGCGCAACGATTATGTGGGCCTCAGCTACGTTCATCCTCGCTGATGTCTCCGGTGTATTTGTAGATCATCGACTTCGGGCCCTTCCTGCACGGGACCCCCGCCGACAAACATGAAGTCGCCATGTCGGTCGTGCACGCCTTCAAGACCTCCGGGTTCCTCTATCTCAGCAATCACGGCGTGCCCCCATCCGTGGTTAGCCACGTCTTTGGCACCTCCGCCCGGTTCTTCGCGCGGCCCCAGGATCAGAAAGACAGCCTGTGCTGGACGACCCCACAAGCGAACCGTGGGTACGTGAAGACGGGCCAAGAGAAGCTCAGCACCGTGGAGGAGGTCGACGATGACGTCGCCGCCGCATCGCGCAGCAGCATCCCCGACCTCAAAGAGACGATGGAGATCGGCCGGGAAGGCGTGGAGGGGCTCCCGAATCGCTGGCCCGAGCATCTCGACGACCAGGGGAAGGAGTTCAAGGCGGTGATGCTGTCGTTCTTCGAGATGTGCAAGGCGCTGCACACCGAGGTCATGCGGGCCATCGCGCTGGGCATGCACCTGCCGGAGCACTACTTCGACCCGTTCGTCGACGCCGGCGACAACAACCTCCGCCTGCTGCACTACCCGGCCGTCGACAAGCGCGTCTTCCGCCACAACCCCCTGCAGGTCCGCGCCGGCGAGCACAGCGACTACGGCTCCATCACCCTGCTCTTCCAGGACGGCCGCGGCGGCCTCCAGGTCCGCAGCCCCCGCGGCACCTTCGTCGACGCCACCCCCATCGCCGATACCGTGGTCGTCAACGCCGGCGACCTGCTGGCCCGCTGGTCCAATGACACGATCAAGAGCACGAGGCATCGCGTCGTCGAGCCTCCCAAGGTCGTCGACGAAGCCGAGAATGACGACGAGGACGGCTCCGGCGTGTATCCGGACCGTTACAGCATCGCGTACTTCTGTAACCCCAATAATGACCAGATGATCGAGGCCATCCCCGGAACCTACGGAGAGGATGTCCGCCCGCTCAAGTACTCTGGAATCACCGCTGGAGACTACCTCGTGCAGCGACTGACCGCAACCTACTAATATCTCTCCTCATGATGACACTGGGCGTTCGGAAGGAGTATTGAATCTTTGGCTTTTCCATCAGTTTTGACATCGTAACACCGTGCAGCAGGATGATAAATACCGCATTGTTGCATTGGACGTTTTGAACGGAAGCTTTGTTATTGAGGGCTTGTATTCGAGAGCTCGCTTGGCATTCATTCTATTTCTAAGATCTAGCATTTCATCTCATAGTATCTACGCGGAAGTCTTCGTCTATGTGCAATAGCCGCCTCTCCCCTACTACTAATATGTGCATGGAACCGCGCTCACTCGGCCTCCGTCGGTTATCGTGATGTTGCCGTTGAGATATGCGCCCGACGGGCCGGCCATCCACAGAATCAAACTGGCCATATCCTGTTCGCTGCCTGCACGTGTAAGGGGGATCATGTCGCGGGGGAAAGAGCCGTCGGAGATTCCCTTGTCGCCGTCCTGGAAGTTCATGGTCGACATCTCCGAGAGATACAGTCCCGGCGCAATGCCATTTACCCGGATGTCGTACGATGACAGCGTGGTGGCGAGGATCTTGATCAGCTGGTTCGTCGACGCCTTGGAGAGGTTGTAGGCGACGCTGAACGGCACCCGACGGTTGAAGCCCGCGATCGAGCTGGTGATGATGACCTGGGCGGTTGGGGCCGACGCCTTGTTCTTCTGCGGCGCCGGGCGGCGCTGGTTGGCCGCCTCCAGCAGCGGCAGGAAGGCGAGGACTGTAAAATAGGCGCCCGTGACGTTGACCTCGAACACCTTCGAGAACTCCTCCATGGACGCGGACCACAGCTGGTCGCGCACCTCGGATAGGCTGGGAGCTGATCCGTCCGGCTTGGGCCCGGGCGGGCGGTTCACCGGACCCATGATCCCGCTGTTCGCGATCAGCAGATCAACATGACCCGTCTGCGCGGCAATGGCCTCGTAGGCCCCCTGGAGGGACTCCTTGGACGAGATGTCGGCCTGGATGGGGACGATGGCCTCCGGCTTGGAGCTCTGGGCCGCCGTCTCCTGCAGGGCCTCTGGGCGGCGACCGATGATGAAGACCTTGGATGCGCCGTTCTCGGCAAGCGTGAGAGCCATGATCCGGCCCAGTCCTAGCAGGAGAAGGAGAATAGCACCGGTGAGTGGCAACGTCCTGGACACATCCTTCCTAGGGGCACATGCGGAGGAGCTGGAGGGGACTCACCACTACCACCCCCGGTGATGACGGCCACTAGGCCCTCGACGGAGAATAACTCCGCGACTCGAAGATGGGACATGTTGCAGTGACTGGATTCTGGGAGATAGCAATTGGTAGCACAACTGGCTGGCTGGCTGGTTGCGAAAGGGGTTGCAGAAGTAGTGGACAGTGAGTGAGGTGAGTCAAGACACATAGTTAACTATCTAGTTACCACAGACGATGCGGGGTAAGTTGTCAGTTACTCCTAGGAGCTGGAGTTGTTCTCGGCCGGATCCGATCACGTCACACAGCCTATTGTTCCTCGCGATCGTTCATTGTCCTTCTGCCGTTCGCAACCATCGGCATCGATGCCATTGTCGAACCACAACTGCTCAGCTGGCCATGGACTCCCCAATTCTGAGCCGTGGGCTGTCAGGAACAGCCTTGGCGGGGAGAAGGACAAGAAAAAGTCCCGAACGAGCCCGGTGGAAAAACCGGAGGTGACGCCGAAGGGAGGTCACACCTGCCTCATCCGGCCTCGGCGATGAATGCATCATCTTCCACCTTATTTTCCACTTTTTCCACTTTTCCACCACCTATTATAACGCCGCTCGTGCGCTCTGATTCCCTGGATAAATGTTCCTGCCCATCCACTCGACTCCATCTTTCCTGCACGTCACTCTGACCACCCTGAGCCTGACTCAATGCGGCGCTCTCAGCTCCCGCGTAGCTTAAGGTGTGTCTAGTCAGTGGAGCACGGGATTTGTTGAAGTGGGTCTTCTCTTTGCTTGACAACCAAGTTATTCAGTTAACCATACTGATTGTCTGTAAGCCCGGGCTGACTGAACCATGGCTATCCAGGGTTGTGTCACAGTGCGAAGGGCCGATCAAGACCCCTTTCGGACGGAGATCCACCCCTTAGCCCCTGATTTCACTTAGTCGTCATGTTCGTTCACTTCGTCATGCTCGTTCACTGACACCCCATTCTATACTACCCACTGCTATTCTCATGAAGAACCCATGGAACAGCGTCCATGCGGCCAGCACATTTACTGTATCCCAAACTGAGGCTCAGCCTTATTCGGCTGTAGCCCAATGTCTGCTTGCTGACATGACCGGATGGATCGACGTGGTGGAGCGAGGTCGACGGCCTGCTTGAGGTCCCAACTGACATCGCCTCAGGGTCATACAAGCTGGTTACATGCGGTGCCGAATCCATCCGTGAACCTAGCCCAGGCACTGCTTGGGTCGAGCAGGACTTAGTCGGCCTCCAGCAGAGATTTTTGAACATGGACGATGATTACCCGGTTGCGTCACAGCTGGGTCACTACGCAACAGTCTTCGTGAAGCTTTTATAACTGAATCTCCGTGCCTGTGTCTTTTGGAAGTTCACCAAGCGCCAGATTTCGAACAGCCCAATTTTACCTACAATCACCACTCAAAATGACTTGGGGCCGCTTGTTGCTGCTCAGCTCTTTGGGCTCGCCCTTGGCTTCGGCTTTGCCCGGCCAACTCTTCGCTCGCACTACCGATGCCGCTGAGACAGCTACGGCTGCTGCTCCGCCTGTGGTGACCTACTCGACCTCTCAGGCGCATACCCCATATACCGGAACCCCCACCACTACTGGAGCCCTGACTGCCAGCTCCATCGGCCCTGGAGTCTCGCCTCTGCCTCCTGCCCCCGGGGCATTCGACTATCCTAGTGATGGAGAGCTTCATGCCCCCGAGCCCGGTCCATACACCCCTGCAGGAGGCGTTGGAACTAACGGCACCGAGCCCGTCTACAACGCAAAGAGTGACTTCGACTTCGAGTCATTGGTACGTCTCTCCACCCCTTCGGACACTGGGCCACCTGCTAATCTCGCACCAGGCTCTCGCTCTCTACCAAGAGTACATTGAGCTCGATCTGTTCCACGACGGACTGGCTCGCTTCTCGGAGGAGGATTTCACTGCTGCTGGATTGAACGCAGAGGATCGCCATCTGATTGAGTTCATGGCCAACCAGGAAGTTGGACATGCCACCATGTTGACCAACATCTTGGGCGCTGCAGCCCCTAAGCAGTGCAACTATGTCTACCCTTACACCACTGTCCACGAGTTCATCGACTTCTGCCAGAAGCTCACTCGCTTCGGTGAGGCTGGTGTCTACGGATTCTTGGCTCACCTTGATTCCCGCGAGGCTGCGACCCTTCTTACGCAGTCCATCACCACGGAAGCCAGACAGCAGCTCATCTTCCGTCAGTTCGAAGGTCTCTTCCCCATGCCGGTGTGGTTTGAGGTTGGTGTTCCCCAGTCCTGGGCCTGGACTCTTTTGGCTCCATACATTGCCGACTGCCCCGCCGACCAAACTCGCCTGGCTTGGCAGAACTTCCCTGCTCTGAGCATTGTCAACCAGCCCAACCCCTTCCGGATCAACGGCTCTGAGGCGTCTGGCGAGACCATTAGCAACGGCACCAACGTGTCGAACAGCACGGTGGTTCCCGAGTCGGACTCGTGCCTGAACTCGACCGAGGTTGGCATCGACTGCTCGCCGGCGATCACCCACAACCGCACCAACCCCCTCTCCTACCCTGGCCGTCAGGTTTTCCTGACCTGGGAGGAGCCCGGTAAGGCCGTGGGTCCGAACAACAGCTACGTGACTTCGACCAGCGCGGGTGAGCCCAAGTTCGTCGCCTGGGCCTCGCAGCTGAACGTGACCTACTCGCCGCTGACCCTCAACGGATCGAACTCGGGCTCGACCATCCAGCCCGATGTGTCGACCTACGCTGGTGACCCGGCCGCCAACGGCACTCTCTTCATTGCCATCACGGACTCGGACCTCTTCGTGACTCCGTTCAACATCACCATGCTGAACCCTCATGTCGTGGCCGGACCCGCTCTGTACCAGTCTGGTTAGAAGGACACCGATGACAACTGATAGACCGAGTTTGTTTTCATAGGAGCAACAATGATTCACGATACACGCATGTTTCGCTCGTTTTGTTTTGGGATTCGACGATGGTGATAGGATAGCTGGAGTTTGACGTGGGTGTACTACCTTATTACCTTAATTTGCTTAATGCTACGATAGTTCTGGCCATCGTTTACCAGTAGATTGGATAGTTAGTCAAAAGTAAGTCTAAGATAACCTGTAAGTCACATGAATCGATTGTAGGCCGAGGTAGGCCAGCGAAAGCAGGCAGATCGATACATAAATGAGTCTCATGCAGGGAAAATCAAGCCGCAAAGCTAGCTCCATGTCATCCAACCCTCCCAGTCAGAAATAATGCAGCGAGGAAACTGACAGTTGTGTTGAGTTATCCCTTTTTACTTGGGTACACATACCGGTAGTTGGAGTATGGTGCATACTTCCCCGAAGTTAGAAGCAGGGACTTACATTGTAGTAGCTCGACCCAAGTTTATGAATCCTAGCAAGAATATCTTCAATGCTCTTCATCCCAGTCGCACTACTACAAATATATGAGTATCGAGTCTGTAGTTTTCAGGGTGTCGTGGTTTACATGTCTCCTTGCATTTGTACTGTATAAGAATATTGGTAGATACTATTTATAGCTCCCGCTTAACCCCCGCTTACCGCCGAGTGAGGGTCGAAAGTCGGACAACTTCGAAGCCAGGCGGATGAGACATCTCACTCACTCACAATTCCAAATCAGCCAATCCACCAGTCTGCAACCCACCGAATTTCTTTCCTCTCCTAAAGTAAAGTCCAACCAGCATAGCACGAACCCCTGACCGAATCGACCACCGCGCCAGAATCACGAACCCTCTTACACTTCCACCTCCTACCTCGTACCTCCATCTCCACCTCCACCTCCACCTGTCACCTGTCACCTGTCACCCCTGACATCCTCGCCGGCTCTTCACCTGGCACCCACCGAATCAGTTTCCATTCACAACAACAATGGAAGGACCCAAAAACCGAAAACAACGCCGCGCAGCAGCGAAACAAACCCGACCCACCGACGCGTTCGATCCCGCCTCCGTCCCGCTCGCCCATCCACCAACAAATCCCCCCAACCCGACCGGCAAAACCCTGGTGGATATCATCGCCGAGCGACAGGGGGAACTACTGGGGCAGCTTTCCACTCCCAATGGGAATGCAGGCACGCAGACACAGTTCGTGACCGTCGACCCGCGGACGGGGGAGATCTCGGCCGTGGACGAGGGAAGTCTCTCGCACGAGACGAAGAAGAAGGCGATGAGGCGGGCGGAGAAGGCGCGGCGGCGGCAGCAGCAGCAGCAGCAACAAAACACGGACGGAGGCGAGCACGAAATCTCTAGCGAGGAAGAGGAGGAAGACGCGGAGGACGAGGAGGAAGAAAAGCTCGAACACCCGATCCCCCCGGTCATCGACACGCTGCTCCTCGCGGTGCCGCTGACGACCCTCCATCTGACGCTCGCCTACCTGGCCGCCCACCAGTACGCGCAGGAGATCGAGCTGGACAAACTGGTCCGCGAATCCGCCCTCGTGGCCCTCCCCATGCTGGCGCTGTTGATCCACCTGGCGCACGGGCATATTGTCTCCTTCATCGGGGCGACGAACAGGCCCGGGGAGGAAGCGCTCTCGCTATTGCCGTGGGACCGCGAGAAGCGGTCGTGGGCGTTCTTGCGCCGCCTCCTCTTCCCGCCGAGCCTACGCACCGTCGTCTTTCTCCCGCTGACCGTCTTCCTGGGGTGCAGGTTGATGGTCATGACCAACGAGGACCCCTACTACGCTGTCATGAAGCAGGCGCCGGCTTTTGGGACCATGTGGATCTGGGGCGTGTTGGAGATGTCCTTTGGACCTGCTGTGCTGGGGGCGCTGGGCCCGTTGGTTTGGGGGGTCTGGTGGATGGGCTATGGGGTTCTCTGATCTAGAGGGGCTGGTTGTCAGTGTTTGAGCGAGAGCGGCGGGCTGTTGCTCGTCCGTCTACGGTTTCAAGGGAACTGGACTCCGTCACTCATCCCCCATCTCGTAGGATGTGGAAAGGAGGGGTGCATCTTCCTCGCTGCATGAAGGATGCATATCCTGGGACGAGACACTCAAGGCATCGGGCAGTCTTGGTCACCGCACCGCGACGAGTCAGTCGCTTGTGCAGCAGTTTCTTGACAATAGCCAGGACGATATGCATCTCAGATGGCGCCCATCACGATGTAGGGGTTGAGCTCCTTTGCCATGCGTGATAAGCATGGAGCCCGCAACGTCGTGGTTGCAGATACTCGACCACCCTCTGCTCGTCTACACGGTCTGCATACGGAGTAAGCGCGCTACGCGAGGGTCGTACGACATCGGTTTGCACCTCATCACAGCACGGCACACTGTGTCACAGTGCAACCATTATCGGAGGTGTAGGCTCTGTAGCAATCTGAACCGAGCTCCATCCTACATCAATCCGCCAATGGTTCGCTCTCGCACTGTACCCAGCATACGATGACATGTGAAGGCAACGGATGGGGTTTGATTCGGCCGACGAGCTTAGGGTAACTTCGCTTCGAGCTAGTTGAGATACAAAGCGACAAATGAGATCCGTCCCTATAGGGTTAAGAAGTAGGATAGCAGCGAACGATTGCGAAAGCGCCCAAAACCGAAATCGAATTATAGCATTAGGCATTGCGCCCTGCCCAAGCTGCGCCAAGGTCACGGTTGCGGGACCTACCTACCCGAAGCCTTTGCTCGTGGCATGGGAGAACAAAGACGGTTGGCGAGCCACGCCTCCAGACTGACCGGATGAGTGTTCGCTACCGATGCGCCTCTCGCCCCCGTTTCCCTTACAGGCGTGTTGACGTGGCATTGCAGCGCCACAGGAAACCGTTGCGCACCTCGAGCAGGTGCAGCGTTGGGAACCAGTTCCCAGCACTAGTAGCAATCGACAGGGGTGGTGCATTAGTCTGAGGAGAGGCAGACAGGACCGGCATCACGAAAACAGGGGGCACTCGGATCGAACGGAGGGGAGATTCAGGCAGTCACATCTAAGTGAGCGACCGAGCCTGAGGCAAGGCCTTTCCTACTCGGATAATGCAGCGCAACTACCGACTTACGACTTACCGTTTGACCCTGTGCCCGGAGCATGGACGTACTATGTAGCTTAGTGACAGGCTGGAGCTTTTCAGTTGCTGATGTCACCCGTCACTGATTGACATGGAGTTTGTCAATTGTCAGATGCAGGGTCAGGTTTCGCGCGCAAGGGCTCTGACATACATACACTACACTACTGGGTTGGAGGTATGCACTACACCACACTGCACCGACTGTACAGCTGCAAAGCTGGAGTGAACTCGAATGCCATCGCCCGCGTAAGTAGAGAGGAAGTTAGCGCCCGGACGGAAGGGATGATCGGTCCCCATACGACAAGGCCGATCAGCGGGCGAGGGCAATCATGACGCTGGGTGATGTTGATGTTGGGCGGGATCCGTTCCTCGAGCAAGCCATGACTTTACGCTGTATGGACACTGGCGTTCGCCTACGGAGCTGCATCCCCAAACCGGATAAGTTGGTTTGGAATTCGAATCCAGCGCGTTGGACTTGGCCTTCCGAGTGGCAAGAGGCAAGAGGTCGAGGACGGACAGACTACAGGCTCGCGAGCAGGATTTTGTTTTGGATTTTGTTTTTGTTTAGTGGGAGGCGCCGAGCAAGATGGCATCTGGTTGAGAGGCTGGCGGAAGGGCGGGCGCGAAGATGCGACAAAAGCAAAAATACGGAAAAAATAGTGAAAAAGAAATGATTCATGAAAAGAAAAAGATCTAGGACCAAAGGAAAGGGTGCGGCAAGATGACAGCGGAGGGATTGCCAGTCATCAAATAACTAAGTTACCTAGTAACTAGGTGGTAGTCGGCGTATGTGACCTTCCGAATGCGGCCGGTTCGAGAGACTCGGGAGACAATTCGCTTGTCCGGATGAGTTGAACCGCGAGAGATCGGGCTGGCTGGCTGGATTCAAGGCACTAAGAACCAGTGGCTGTAGTTAGTCTCTCCTTGCCATCGCCATGTGTTTCCCAGAGTTTCCCAGAGTCCGTTCCATTTAGCCGACGACGCCCGCTGGGACCGCAGGATCGAAGGAACGAGGACCAAGTTACGGAGAGGTTCGAGAGGATCAGCTAGCTAGCTGTCTTCTCCGCTGTGGCACGAGGCAGGTTATGGGCTGTGGGCGTGGGCTGTGTGTGGCGCAAGCAAAGAACGCTGCTGTAGTGTAGATGAGGTGGTCGTGGCCGAACTAGACACGAACTATTGGGGCACTAGTCGGTAGGACACCTTCACCATCAACTCTCCCCCATTGCGCCTTCCTCACCATTGGGGTGTTTTCCGCTGAGCCGAGCCTTGGGCTCGGACAATATCCATTGCCTGCACAATTGTCTATTGTTGATGAGGGTGATCTGGCTGGAATTCTCCGCTGCAGAACTGGATGGGTGGATTATCGCGGCCAGTGACAATCGCCAGCCCTACTTCGTCCAACACGAGAGTACCTTTTAGACTGGAGTAGAGTAGTTGCCCCCAATTCATCTAGATTCTAGACTAAACCTGAAGGCACCACGTGCAGCACGATAAGCAAAGCAACACCCCCCGACACCCCCCGTTCCCCCTCATTCCTCCATCCAAGACCCAAACACCACAATCTGCAAGGGAAAGGGGGAAGGGGAATCAAGACGTGAAGATTGCAAACCAGCCCGGTTCTCCTGTGCCATCAGGCACAAAAGAAGCAATTCCTTTCTGCAGTGGCAAACAAACCCCCGCGTAATCAAAACGAAGCAAACTGTTTGCAGGGCTGCTTGGGTCATCACCGTGTACTTAGCTAACCTATAAACCGGTCAGCTAGCTCAGGCAATCAATCCACCAGTCAGCAACTAAGCGAGGAAGACCTGTTAGCAGAGGCAGAGTGAGCAGAGCAGAGCAGAGCGAGTAGAGTAGATTGTGGGGTAATTCCAGTTCTTGCTATGAGTACATGCATGGTACATGGTACAGTCAGTTGGGCATGTGCATGCAAGCCTGGAACCAGAAGCAGAGCCAGAGCCAGAGCCCGAAGCAGAGCCAGAAGCGGTGGATGTCATCTCATGTCATGGCATGGCATGTCATGTCAACGACTGATACCACCCACCCACCCTGGCTGCCGGAATCGATTACCTGGTTGGTTGGTACGGGGCTAGAGTAATGCTCCTACCTACTTACTGAAAAGACAACACCTCCCCAGACCGCGATCCTTCTTCAGTGTGTGGTAAGTCCAGTACCACCCAACCAAATCCAAAACCTGCAACTCCAAAGACAAAAGACCCTCAGAGCCGTGCTGTGCTGTGCAGCCAGGACCCGGATTTCCATCCCACCCGTTCGGTGAGTAAGTTGGCCCATGCATGGAGTGACAGTCCTGTACCTGAATCACCTTGACCACTGAGTAAATGTACCCTGAATCACCTTGAGCTTATCCCCTCCCCCTCCTCTTCCCTCCCGCTTGGTGGATGTAGGCAAGAATATGCACCTGCGCATGCCTAACAGCCACCTTCTTGGCCCTTGACAGCGGCCAGGACGCCAAGCGAGTAAGCACCTGTGTATCATTTCCGGCTACGAGATACGAGGCATGACAGCTGGTGCGTGTCTTCACTGAGTGATTCTGCAGTGCAACCCCAGACCAAGACCAAAACCCCTCTGTGTAACTGTGTAACATTAAGCGGAAATTCGGTATGCTTATTTCACGACTCTCGCGAATCAAAGCTTAGTAGCCGTTACAAGCTACAGTACACTTTTCGTAGATTTGTGATAAGATAGATTGTTAAATTGCTAGTTCTGTGGATAGCACGACATCAAGGTCGCTACCCCTCATCTGTATATATGTAATATCGGATATAGTCACTTAGTGCAATCTCAAGAACGCCTCAACCCATCCCCATCCAGCGAACCCGCAAACGCCAAACCCACCAACAAAAAAGAGAGGGGTACTGTACATGGCCCCAAAAATCAAACCGTAATGCGGCCCTTATGCATGATCCCGACCGACTGGAGACTAGCGCCCTGGAAGCGCGTCAGCAGCGAGCTGACAATCTCGCGATAGGTGTTCATCTGCGCCAGCTTGAACCGCTGGATCTTCCCACTCGCCGTGCGCGGGATCTCCTCCACGAAGAGGATGCCCCCGTCCAGCGCCTTGTAGCTGACCAATTGCGGCCGCGTGAACGAGTACGCCTCCTCCGCCGTCAGCCGGTGGCCGGCGGCATTCTTCGCCCGCACGATGAAGGCGCGCGGGAGCTCGGTGCTGCCGTCGTGCGATGTAACCCCGATTACCGCCGCATCCTCGATGCCAGGGTGCCGGAGCAGGATGGCCTCGAGTTCGGCCGGCGCGACCTGCCATCTGGTTCCAGTTGGGGTTAGGATCTGACCGATTATAGAGAGGCAGGAAGAAAGAGCTTACCCTCGAACCTTGATCAGCTCCTTCGTGCGGCCGTGGATGTAGTAGACCCCGTCTCTGACATAAGCCACATCCCCGGTGCGGAACCAACCATGCGTGTCTTTGGCGTCAGTTCGGCCCTTGTACCCCAGCAACAGGCCCGCCCCACGCACGTACAACTCCCCAGGCTTGTTCTCCTCCGCGACCCTCTCGCCATCTTGGCCCACCAGGCGGACCTCGTAGCCAGAGAGTTGCCTTCCGATGCTTCCGGCGTCGCCTAGCTCTCCGTACCGGTTCTGGAACACCACACCCACCTCGGTCATCCCCCAGAGCTGCGCCGCATGCGCATCCTCATGGAGCAGTTGCCGGAACTGTTGCATGGACGCTCCGTCGATGGGTGCGCCGGCCACTCCCACATAGCGTAACGACGACAAGCAGCCCGCAACCGGGATGGTCGAGCGATTGAACGCGTGGATCATGGCGGGAACCATGTAGGTCTCGGAGATGCGATACTGATACACCGCCGCGACGAACTGCGTGAGCTCGAAGCGCGAGAGCACAAACAACGGCTGTCCGTAGCGAATGGGGAACAGGTGGGTCCACAGGGCCCCGAACAGATGGAACATGGGCAGGGACATTAACCGCGTCACCTCGTAGGGAACCTCGTACTGGATGCTCAGATGCTGGGATATGATAGCGTGATGCGACAGAATCGCCGCCTTGGGTAACCCCCCGGTGCCGCTGGTGGGGAACATCGCGGCCGGCGTGGATTTGGCAATCACCTCGTCATGGAAGGTGAGCCAATGATCTTCCCCGTACGCGAGGAGATGAGCGAAGCTCAGGTAGGCGCCATCCTCGCTAGTCGCGAGATACGGAGCGCTTGCGGCCGCATAGGCCAAGGGCCCCGAGAGCAGGAGCTGGCCAATGTGGTCTCCTGCGAACTCATCCAATAGGCAGACTTGCCTCGGCAGCATTCCCCGGTCGGCCGAGACTTTGAGCACGGTGGGGAGGGCATCGCGAGAGGTGATGATTAATTTGGGCTCGGCCAGCTGGAGCAAATGGTCTAATTCTTGGGGTTGACTTCGTGCGTTGGTCCCCATGAACACGCCGCCAGCGCCGATGATACTATAGAAGAGTGCGGGGTATATGATCTACCCCATTGAGTCAGCATGGTATAAGGGAGGTAGATTGATTCGGACGGAAAGGATTAATTCTTTAATAAAAAAAAAAGAAAGAAAGAAACAAAAAGAAAAAGAAACAAAAAAAAAATCGATTCCAATTGGAACAGTGGGTAGGGAGGAGGGGAGGGCAGGGGACTAGAATCGGTGTCGAACGAACGACGAAAGGGGAGATCGCCATGCATACTTACACTATTTCCCAGGTGGACCAGCACACAATCCCCTCGCTGCACGTCATGGGCCTTCAATCCTGCAATCAATGTGCGAACCAGGGTCTCAAACTGCCGCGCATTGAAAGACTGCGAAAGATTCTCAGCATCAATCAACAATGGACGCTCGCGGTCGTAGTGGTAAGGGCTGCGGAAAGCAAAGGTCAACAAGTCGGTGTATGGGTGCTGGCCCAGATTGGGGTACGCCAAGGACGACTCCCAGAGACCCATCGCGTCGGAATGCAATTGACAAAGGAGTTTCCGTCAAGGCAGGCAGGCAGGCAGGCAGGCAGGCAGGCAGGCAAGACAAGTGGGCACAGGGGACCGGCGGGGGCAGTGTGGTCGGATAGAAAATAAGTAGTATGTCGATAGCTGAGACTATTGAGCTCAAGTAGGGAGGAGAGGGAGAGTAGATGATTATGATGATGATGATGATGATGATGATGATACACAAGAATAGTGAGAGAAATTCACCCCGACCACGGGAGATCCAGGGCGATAAATAGAATCTCCATGGTGTTCAACAAATATGCTTTTTGTCATGCTGGCGGGTTTCAGAAAAAGTGAAAGGGTTGACAATTTGCGGTGTCTCGAAGAACAATTCCAGTTTCCTGGGTCTTGGTATGAGTGAGGTGAATGGGGGGGGGTTTGGGTGATTTGGAATTTGGAATACTTACTACTCCAGTTAGGGCAGAGAGTGGCTCAGTGGCGCTTCCTTCCCCCTCAAATCCCGACACATCGTCACCCACTGCACCTGCACCGACACCAACACCGACACCGACACCGGGTTTCCGCTAAGATCGGATTGCTGATCCTCTTGCCGGGCCCACGGACGGATCATACTTTGCGCTTAGACTGCTCACTGCTAGTGAGTACTCCGTAGCTAGCTAGGCTGCTAGTCTATCAGCTGCTAGCATGTCAATGTCGATTCAGATCGCGGCCATGTGGGTCCCTCGCTCATCTCTCATCCTCGAGAGAATGCACTTCACCCACTTCACTGGCGAACATCTCCCCGTCATGCCGACGAATCAGGTCCATGATCAACTCAATTCTCCATAACTTAATCCAATGTTGAGCCATCTCTCAGTCGGACTTGATCTGAACCATGTCGGCAGCGCACTCTGATTGGTACTTCGTCCTGTCAATCAAGCCCCATCGTTTCTCTTCAGGTGCTCCCTCTGCAGCTGAACCCCCGGTTGGATCTGCCGTCCTGAGGACGCATTCCCCCCCTCCCCGAACTACTCCCACGGTTCCTGGAGGCTTGGTCCTGGCCCTGCTGAATTAGCCCGTCATCTGGCGCGCTCGACCATGCGCCCAGTATGCAGACGCGACCCCACTGCTCTAGTCACCCACATGCCACGCTGACGTCTTCTTAACGGGATCCCAGAAAACCGCGCATGACAAGCCATTACATGATGGACTTGACTATCTTGGACGAAGGCCCGAAAGAGGCAGTACCCCGCCCGCTAAATCGAGCAGGGGCAGTGGGTGGCCATGCCACCAAGTGACTCGTCGGGATCTCCTTGCCCATGTATCTGAGCGCACTAGTTCATCAGGATGGAGACTCAGGTGGCCCTGCCGGGGCCACTCTATTACTGATCGACCTCACTCTGAACTGGCCAAACGAAGGAAAAGCAAGGAATCTGCGCCTGCTGCATGGGCCACGATATGCTTGCCGAGCTTGTCGGGTCATGCAACTCCACAGACCCTGTCCACTTCCAGGGCACGGATTGTCCGCTTATCGATGCAACCCTCTTCGTCTTTAGGCGTGGATCGGTGGAGAATACGAATCTTGGTGGCAAGCCCTCTGGCGCCTGAGTCCAAGGCATCAGTACTAGTGTCGATCAGGAAACCCTGGCCGGCCTGCAGGAGCCACTGAACGTGCTCATGCTGGTGCATCCGCATCTCTAGACCGTTCCATCAAGTCGTCATTGTTGCTGGAATCATCGGCCACGGCACGGGGACGGGATATTCGCTCGTGGACGAGCCATCCATTGGCCCCTCGACTTCCACATTCGGAGAATGAACAGCTGAGGAGTGGCAGGATTGATATCATTCTCCAGTGTTCATTGGTAAATCCATCTCGGATCTAGGATACGGAACAAGTTCCCCCTCAAATAGTGTCGGCATCACGGAGGCTGAAATCACGATATCGAGGCGAAAGGCGAAGCTGAGATACCGTGGTCCGCATGCGGTATGATGCAAGGTGCTGAAGACAAGAGACCGTGGTCTGCAGCCGAGATATTGTCCGATGTTCAATGTGAGCCCACCCTGAGGGAGACAGCCAGGCTGCATCAAGGTCAGATGTCGTCATGCATGAGGATTCAAAAGACGTCTGTACCCGTCGTTGTGAGATGCAGGTTGATGGTGGATCACACTCATGCGCCCATAGGGACCAATCGAGTCATTGTCGTTACTGCTTGCAGCTTCCGTTCCCCATCTTGCATCCGGCGCTTCGTTCCTGAAGATTACATGCGTCTGCCCCTCGATCTTACCCATGATATCTTCTTGTCAACCTTCAATCTCATCTCCAGAACCAATTCGAAGCAACATGTCGAGTGAGGTGAAGAGCACAATAACGGTACCACCGGCAGTGGTATATGCATCAGGTCCGCAAAGTCCCACTTCATCGACATTCACAGAAGACTCCATCATCAAGGTCTTCTCAGAGAAAGCGGAAGTGTCCCGATATCGTGACTCGGAAGACGGATCTCTTGACCTCGAAGCTCAAGCCCCAAAGAAGCGCAGATTCGCTGCGATTCGGTTCATATTCCTTAACATATACCGTCGCCTGTTCTCCTTGGTCTTCTTGGCCAATGTAGCTGTGTTCGTTGCAGTCATGGCGACGGATCGAAAGTTACTAGCATTGGTAAATGCGGCAGCAGGTAACCTGCTTGCATGCGGCCTCGCACGGCAGCCCTTGGTGGTGAATTCGATCTTTGTTATCGTGGCATCCATCCCGAGGTCAGCGCCTCTCCGAATACGACGCATCGCAGCCAAGGTATACCACTATGGTGGCGTCCACAGCGGGTGCGGGATAGCCTCATTCGTCTGGTATGCCGGCTTTGTTGGCCTCCTATCACGGGAGTACTGGTCTCCCTCACCATCCTCCTCATCAGGCGGGTCAAGCATCTCCGTGGCCCCAGTGATCCTGGCATACTTGATCTTGGTCGTGCTGCTCGCCATCATCGTCGTGGCCTACCCGGGGTTCCGCATCAAGAAGCACGATTACTTCGAGCTCATCCACCGGTTCTTCGGCTGGCTGGTGGTGGTGCTCTTCGTGATCCTGCTGATGGTCTTCGCCGACGAGGTCAGCCGCGCGTCGAACGAGCCGCTGGGACTCTTCCTGGCGAGACTCCCCGCCTTCTGGTTCCTGGTGCTCACGGTCGTGGCCATCGTGCACCCGTGGACGCTCCTGCGCAAGGTCGCGGTGCAGCCGGAGACCCTCTCCTCGCACGCCGTGCGGCTGCATCTCAGCCACACGACCACCACCTTCGGCAAGGGCATCCAGCTGGCGCGCCACCCGCTGCGCGACTGGCACGGGTTCGCGACGTTCCCGAACCCGGACGGCGGGCGGAGCTTCTCCTGTCTGGTGTCCAAGGCGGGCGACTGGACGGCCGCCTGCATCCAGGACCCGCCCACGCACCTGTGGAAGCGCGGCGTCCTCCTGTACGGGTTCGCGTACGCGATGCGCGTCTTCACGCGCGTGGTCGTGGTCACCACGGGCTCGGGCATCGGCCCCTGCTTGTCCTTCCTCGGGGACGACCACCGCCCCGCGCTCCGCGTGGTCTGGCAGACGCGCGCCCCGCTGAAGACATACGGGCAGCGGGTGCTGGATCTGGTGTCGATGATGGACCCCACCCCCGTGGTGGTCGACACGAATCAGTCCGGGCGCGTCGATCTGGTCCCGATGATCCGGCGCATTGTGCAGGACTTCGACGCGGAGGCTGTCTGTGTGATCAGCAACCCCGTGTTCACCAGGAAGGTGGTATATGAATTGGAATCGAGGGGCATACCGGCGTTCGGGCCTATCTTCGACTCGTGACCGACCACGTGTCGTCTTTCTGTCTGTATATATACTAGCGAGCAAGGTGTTGGGATTGACTGCAGCAGGCGTTGGGGATTCTTTGAGATTGCCATGGCCTCAGAAACCGGGGGGGGGCTAGAAACGGGGAAATGGATTCAGACGAAGTCAAGCCATGTTTGGGGGGGGGGACTTCGTCACTGTATATAGTATCAGGATCAAGAGATAAGGTAGTCTATGAAGTGATGCCGTTGGCCTTGATTTTCGGGGGGGGAGACGGGCATTGTATGCAAACATTCCAAAGATCCGCGCGGTGTTTCATGTGCCTGTCCGGCCGGCAGGGATTCGATGTAGCAGTCCGCTGGGTACTTGCAGTTACGCTCCCACATTATTAGATTTTAGTACGACAATCAGTTCAGTCCCAGCCTGGGTGTTTATCATCACAGGCCGGAATAGTCTCCTAGCCCAAGGGGTCAGGATTCAGCTGGTCGCTTTTCAGAGCCGGAGTTCAAGACCACTTGTGCAACCAGCCTATTATGCAAGGTAGTCCTCGGGCAACCAGATAACCCATCATCGTACGTTTAGCTCACTTTTGATTTACAGAATTTGCTCTACGCCGCAACATTTGGGTAAATAGATCTGAATGTTCAATTTGTTCATTCATAATCGTTATTCTAGAGAATTCACCATAGCGACAAAGTGTATGTACCTGGGTATGTATGATGCCAGTAACGGAAACAGACAAATGAAAATGCTCAGACTTGACGAAAATAATGGGTATCATGCAAGCACAGAAATCACCCAGCAATACAGAATCTATCAGCAGACTTTTGTTTTCTCCTCCATGGTATGAAACAATTAGGAATTAGGGGAAAGGTAGTGAGAGCTTGGACTTCCAATTTTCGCGGAACTGTTGAGAGTGCATGAGAACAAGGACGTCCTCGGGGGGTGAAAATCGTTGAATTCGTAGCAGTCATAAATTCATGAAAGGTCGGTGTTGGAGGTACACCAATGTTGAAGTTGTATAAGAATTGTGCGAAGCAATGGTATTAGCCGACGCTCAAGGCTCGGTGGCAGACGTAGCTCGGTTTGTCGTTTCAAAAGTCAATGGCTCGGCTGAGAAGTCATCGGGTGTAAGGCGTGATCGTCCCCTGGTTGAAGAAGAATGTGTGGAGTCGCTATCCAAGCGCAGAGATTCCATGCGGTCCAGTTCTTCATACTCCGGAAGGTGCAAGGGAGATCCATGGTAGTCCTCCATGATGCTGCTTCCATCCAGCATGGTGTAACCGGGGGGGCTGGCAGGAACATCCTCATAGACCGGTGGCATCTCCTCGTCCCAACTGATACCCAGCCCGC